AATCCAGGCGGTCATTGCGATATTCGAAATAGGCTAATTCAACCGGAATGATCGGCGATAAAAAAAAAACCCAAACTGTGTCCTGGATGATGAATCGCGTCAAAAGCCAGCAGTGACATGAAAAATAACTGAGCGGATATGAAAGAAGATAGGGCGGTGCATACACTTGGACAGATGTCAATGCATCATGCAATCCGATGGCGAGCACTGAATTTTTCAGCATGCACTAATTAGCACATGCCTCAAACATGGCTGTGAACCACCAGACTAATCATTTTTGCGCTAATTATTTTTCCAGTAATATGCGCTAATTTCAAGTTCGTTCCGGACAATTGCTGTGGGCATCCCATGTTGATTACATGACTACAAGGAAATTTTTACACTTCGAGAGCAGCTATGTTAAAATTTATGGAACTTTTACTACTTAAGTATTGTGGAAATTTTGAAGATACAAACAGGCTAGAAGACTGGAAGGGATAAGGGAGGGTGCCAAAATTGCCCAAAACTACTTTTGTCATAGTTGCATAAACCACATTGTCAAAGTACCACTTATAGAGCACATTTACTGTTCACCGCCGAGGCAAAATCCACTTGCTCAAATCGGCTGCTGCCTATTTGTTGCTCTCATCTGTTCATTTTTCCAAACACTGAATTAACTCTCTGTTCGATCGACTGCCGGTCTTTCCCAGGTTAACTCAAAAATTAGCTAAAAAGCTGCTGTTGATCTCCGGCCAGTTATCTGATCTTACTGCATATGCAATTACTCCAATTTTAGCGATGTTGCTCGACGAACTAGGCATATTCATTGGCGGATTCAGAGCGGCTTCCTGGGGCGAAAAAGCGGCGGGGGAAGGGGGAGGGCGACAACTAATATCGAAGACAGTTTTCTTCACTTTTAGCACTGCAACCTGTGCCGCTGAGGGCCTTCCGCTCCCCCTTCCTGCCCTCTCCTTCTCTTCCGGTCCTTTAATAAGCATACTGCCAGTTTGCCTGAAATCGAAAATTGGGCATGCTTGCCCAGCAGTTGCTACATGAACTAATATTTATGGCCTGGTTTCTCGATAAACTACACAAAAATGCTTTTTATCTGCCTGGCATGAAAAATACGGTCTTTTTTGGTCTGAAAATGCCAGTGAACTATGACCACCAGATAAACTGTCCGCCGGCCCACCAAAGAATCCGGCCTTATTTGCGCAACAAAACGCAAACGAACTAGCACTGTTGTTGCCTAATTTTTTGAACAAAATCCATTTTAAACAACGTATTTTTGCTGTAAAAGACAAAAAAAAAATCTATCTTACCTGGCCGGATTTTGATACATCATTTTACCAGGTGCTTCTGAAATCGCAATAGTGGCAATGTTCTGAAGCGGATGCTGTTGTTGTTGTTGTTGCTGTTGTTGATGATGATGATGTTGAGGATGATGATGATGATGGGGTGGTGGTACAGAAAGATGAGGATTCTGTTGTTGCTGTTGCTGCTGCTGATGATGAT